AAATTCGTGCGGAAGCAGTAAGCCATAAATGGCCGCCTAAAAGCCCCCCTCTATTCCTGTTCTTCGAGAAACATGGCCATTTCAAATACATGAATTCCATATCGCAAAATTCTGGATACAAGAACATTAGAGACGGCATGTATCATCAAACATACATCTACACGTGGGGGAACGCAAAATCTCGACCATTTTCTACCCTTGATGAAGGACTCACCATGAGACCGTACTCGAGTTATGGGAGAGCAGAAGGTGCCGATCCGTATGGCATTTTCTGCCCCCCAAGGAAGCTGCCAAACATGCGTGGCCATGTCGTTTTTATTTCGAGTGAAACTTCTGGCAATGTCTTTCCAAATGGTGCGTGCACCATGCCTGCTCTACATCTTAACTTACATCGCGCAAGGGCGAGTATGATCTTTGGCACCGGCGCCCAAGCAGACAACGTGGTTGGACTCTACAACATGCAGTCCGCCAGAGACATCTATTGGAGGACACGAAAGATGACATTCGGTGTCTTTGATCTTAACTGGCTAGTGTGTCGCTAACTCGGCTTAGCGAGAGCTAGAAACGCCTATGAACGCCTATGAACGCCTATAAACGCCTATAAACGCTTAGGACGGCTTAGATATATCTACTGAGATATATCTAGCAGCACTTAGGACACGACGCAAGCATGGGCGAGACATGTTCGTAGACGGCGGCAGCAGCGACGAAGACGGCGCGTCCGAGGGCAGCGAAGGCTCCGCTGCTGCGGCGGTCGACGATTGGTTCGATGGTTCGAGCGAAAGCGACGGCGATAGCAGCGCCAGTGAACGCGGGAGCGAGAGCGACAGGTCCGCGGGCGTGAACGACGACGACGAAGACAGCGCAAGCCAAAGTAGCTCATCTTCAGGGCAGCCCGCAGCCGCGCTGAAGGAAGAATCGATTGCCTGGGCAGTCGCGCTAGCCAGCGAACTTCCTGGGCAGCAGCACGGATCGGCGAAGCGCCGCTGCCTCGTTCCCCGGAACCTGTCTAAAGGGTTCTGGGACGTGATCGACGTGCTGGATGCAGGAGGCTCTGATGAGCTTAACAAACAACTTAAAGAGCTGTACGCGCGCGGCAAAAAGCTGCAAGGCCAAGCGTGGGACAGCAACGATGCCGACGATCGGATGGCACATGAGGTCTACGCACACGTAAAAGAGGCAAACTTAAACATGCCTGTCCTTGGAATGGAAGTGCTTGAGAATGTGCGACTGCTGCGCAAGCACACTGGCCTACATGACTGCGAAATATCGCGCCTTGCGAATGTCGCCGCGTACCTCGTGGA